AGGAGATTGCCCCTCCTTCTCCAGCAGAGCATCTGGTGGATTCGAACCGGATGCCTCTGGGATTGCAGTGCAGCTTCTTGCCACTAGGCCACCAGGGCTCCCTAACTTTTAACACTTTTAGACTTTTTAAAATGTCTGCAACAAGAGCCTAAAGCTTGTGTAACATAAATATCAGTCTTTGATTTTCATCTACCTGTCAAACTACCAGGCACCAGAGGAAAGAAACATAAGAATACTTGTAGAATTGTGAGGACAAGTTCTGCCTCCCAGGAAGAAACCATAGGACCCAAATAAATAAAATTCTTTAGGTGAAAATAAAACTGCTCTCAGCTTTATTTGCACCTAAAGAATATAATTGAATTGAGTTGCTGGATTTTCTTTTACAACAACAACAACAAACAACCTGGGCCTACAACTCCATTGAGCAAACAAGTATTGAATTCTAGTATAAATACAGGTGGAAAGTAAGCTCAAAAAGTCATCAAAAGCCACAACTTTTCTGTGTGTTAAAATATTACAAAATAGACCAATGAAGAGAGAGAAAAATGAATATAAAGTAATGAAATATTGATTATTGATTGTAGGTAGTAGCTGTAACCATGTTCATTGTGCAATTCTTCCAACTTTGCTGTACATTTCATAAGGGAGAAAGTTGCTCATCTTCCTCCTGTGAAGCTGGTGCATTCGGTATTGCAGCACAGCTTCTTACCACTAGGTCACTTCTGGGTGGTAATTTGGTGGGGTCAAAGGGCATGTGAACAATGTGAGGCAGGCAGAGCTGAAGACTGGGGTCAGACAACAAACACAGCCTGCATTTTAACTGGAAAGAAAGGAATTCCATCCTAATAAAGCCAACTTACTACTTCTCATTTCTAATCTTCTCATCACTAAAATGTACACAATTACTATAATGTGATTATCAAGATGTCCCTTTAGATACCTCTTATAATGTGGTGAGAGTTAATTAGTGGATTCTTTGAGGTTTCTCTGAAGCGTGTGCTATTAAATTGTGAAGATTTTTAAAAAGAATCCTGGGAGAAGTGATCTAGCAGCTGTGGGAACGTTGTCTTAGAAGGAGACAGATCATTGAAGCAGCTACAGTGATAACAAGGACAGTGACAGGCCCTCACCTGGCTGTGGGAGGGGCTGATGCCCGGTCCGGAAGCTCCATGAAATAGGTAGACAGCGCCCTGGTTGTCCTGCTCCCCTGGGGCCCCAATGGCCACATCTGTCAGCCTGTCCCCATTCACGTCCCCCAGCACCGTCATGGCTGCCCCAAAGCGGCTCCAAGGATGACCTTGCTCCCCCTGGAGAACAGCCTGGCACCGCCACTTGGCACGCTGCTGAACAAAACCAGTGTCAGGTCCCAAGGGGAGCAACCCCTCCACCCCATGCCTGGGACCCACCCAGCCCTGGTCCCTCAGTCACTTACCCCACGGGGCAAGGGGCAGATAGACACCTGACCCCCTCGAGTTTGCTCGTAGTAATGGGGGGCTCCTACGAGGACCAGATCAGTGCTGCCATCTTTGTCCACATCCACTGAGCAGAGGGACGCCCCGAAGTAAGAGCCGATCTGAAAGAAATAGAGCCAGGATCACATGCCTCTCCAGTTGGGGAGGAGGTAAGGCGGGTTGATTTCATTCTGCCAAGAAAAATCATGTGACTGCGGAAAGTCCTTTGGAGCTGAATAGATTCTCCATCTAATCCATATTAAGCCCTTGTTTGGATGAATTACCAGCTAGAGAAATATATATTTAAGAGTAAATGGATTATGGGTGAAGATTTCCTCATCTTCCAGCTCACAGACTCACTCTTTGCCAGTTTCCTGTAGGTTTCTGAAACTATAAACTGATGGGAGGAGATAGCTTGTCTTTCTCGCAAGGAGCCGCTGGTGGGTTCGAACCACCAGAGAGGCTAACCTCTGGGAGAGCAGCACAACTCTGTGGGCTACGCCAGCAGAGCTCTCTGAGAGCCAAGAAGCTGAATTAAAGAATAGAAGAGAATGACAGAGGCATCAGATCAGTGAGGATAGCCTTGTAAGTGAGGTATTGGAAGTTTTTGTTGTTATTGTTGTTCTTGTTAGATGCCAGTCAGTCTACAGTGACTCAAAGTGACCCTATGAACCACAGATCAGAACCTTGTCAAAACTGGCAATCTGACTGAGAAGGAGTCCACTGATTTAGATTAGTATTGCCGCTGGCGATGTTTTGTGATATTGAGGAATAATTGCTCCATATCCATACAGAGACTTAAAAGTGATGTTTAAAGTGAATTCAGAGCATCTATCCATAAAGTTTATCCATTTATCCCACTATTTATTCATTCAATACACAGAAAGTTGCTGTTTGAGGGCGCTCTGGTATCCTGCTGGCAAAGAAGTTGCACTGCAATCCCAAAGGTACATGGTTCAAATCCACCAGATGCTCTGCTGGAGAAGGAGGGGCAATCTCCTCCCATGTCAGTTCTGATCCGATTCAGCAGTACAGAAAAGAAAAAGAAATAAAAAAGAAAATAATTTTTCTTTAAAAAAGTCGCTGTTTGTCAAACACAAGACCACTTTATAGAGATAAAACACCTTCCAGAACATTCAGGGCAGAGGATGGAAGCAGGGGAAGATAGTAAATGGATAACTAGGGGAATGGGTGTATCAATTTCATAATGAGACACATACTAAGAAGGAAAATGTGGGGGCACCACCTTATGACTCTCTGCAGCCTCACTTCTGTCCCCCACATCTCTGAGGAGAACTTTTTGATGGTCCATCAAAGGTATGTACAGTTTCATATGAGCATTTCAACAATTCTATAAAATCACATAACCGCCATCTCTGCTGGTCTAATGGGTACAAGTAAATTGATAGCTCTGTACAACTCGAGTAATAATATTTCTCATTGTTGAGTATTTACTGTTCTTTATTATTGCAGAAGACACAACATCCTCAAATGCAAAGCTGAACTTACACTCTCCAGCTCAAAGCCTTCTGTAATCTCCTTCACGAAGCTCACACCTGCAGATGCTCTGCTTGGCATCCTTCAAATCCCGTGGAGTCCCTCATTCACACTCCGTATCATCAGCACTCACCTGGACCCCCTTGATCATCACACTGTTCTCCCAAGTGCCGGCGTTCTGTTTGAACATCACCACCATGCCAGTGTGTTGATAGCGAGGTGCTCCCAGAACCAGATTCTGAACCCGGCTTCTCCAGGTGACTTCAACGGCGTAACCTGAAGACAAAGGAGAGAAGTGCTTTCCTTCACAGACCCTGCCCCCTCTGCCAAGCAGGCTTTGGATAGGGTCAATGAGGTGGCCTCATGCCGGAAAGATTGAATCTCTACTCTCCACATTATATTCCTCTTTATAGACATAATTAAATGTTTACATTTTTTTGTCTTGAAAGTCATCTTCTCAAGGGTCTCTGAAAGAGCTAACGGCATCCAACAAATTCAGTTATTCAGTTACACCACATCCATCTCCTTGTTTTAGGATAACCCTGCCTTTCCCCACTTACCCAAGTAAGCATCGTTCATATCTGAATCCACCCTGGTTGTGTTGATGAAAGTGGCTTTATCACCTGACAAAGCTCGCAGAAAGGCGCCACCAGACCAATCAAAACTCCCCACAGCACCCAGCAAGGGACCGTTCTGGGAAAAGGGATAGAAGAGAATTGAGACAGACAGGAAGAGAGACCCCTACTACCCACCAAACGAGTACTCCTTGACACCATCCATCACAAAGAACCCTCAAAACTGTGTGCCTCTTCTCTACCCCGTTCCCCTCCCCCCCGCCCGCCCGCCCCACCTGAATAAATGACCACTTACCGAGGTGATGGCAGCACTGAAGCCTTCCTGGGACATCTCATGTTCAAATGAGCTGGTGCTTCCTGACTGCGTACCTATGAGGAGGATAATTTCTATTTTAAAGAAAGCAGAAGCATCTAGAACAGAGGCTAGAAACTCAAATGTCAATGGCAACTAGAAAAAGAAAAAGAGACTCAAATGAGAATTGTGTTGTTCTGGAAAGCACAAATCCCTTTTAAAAGAGTAGCTACTATTCAGTTTTACCAACTGGGAAAACCATGAGGTTTCTGATCTCCTAAATTTCTTCTAAGATAAACCAAAAATACAGATTGTATATTAAATCGCTCATTTAAAAAAATTCTTTTTTCAGCAAAGGTTTATTGAATGTCTTTTACTTACCAAGCACAAGGGATATGGAGATGAACCCAAGAGATAAGTATTGACAACCCATACATTTTTTTAGTGTGGGATTTGGCTTCCCTGTCCTCCAGCTTTCAGCCTTTAGCCAAGACACGCAAAATTACAGAGAAGAGTCTAGATTCTTCCATTTCAAAGGAATAGATCAAAAGAAGAGAGGATGATGGGAGTTAGAGGGATTGGGGTTGGTGTTGAGGAGGAGGGTACCAGTGGTTGAAAGAATGGATTAAATACTTCACTGAGGGGCTGCCTCTGGAATTGTCTTGGGAGCACAAGGTATTGACTCACCCTCAATTGCAAAGATCTTTTCCTGCAGCTGATTTTGAATAGTTTTCAGTGCTTCAAAGTTATTCACTTGGAACACGTGCTCAGAAGATGGCTTAGATGCTATGGTTCTAAGCTCTTCCCGCGACTTCTGACTTCTGAAGGCATCTCCCACCTGTTACCAAGGAACAGAGGACAAACAAGACACTAGGGGTAACAATGTCATCTAGTAAAGAAAATTCTTCAGGGAAAAATAATCTGAAACACTTTGACAAATAAGAATGTGATGCTTAAGAATATGTGTCAAGTTGGCTCCCTAGAGTTCCCTGGTATGACAGTTATGAGATCTGATCAGATATAATCACCTTCATAATGAGATCTAATATGAGCAGCCATCAGCTGAAAGGCAATTCCTCCAGGACATGGCTTGCACTGAAAATATATGGGCATCTTGGCAAAAGCATTCTTAATTTCTGCTGGATCAGGATCCTGCATCTAGCCCATCAGCATGTGACCTCTGGTTCTCTGAACTGAACCAACAGCCAGTCCTATTGTCTATGGATTTTGGATTTGCCAGCATTGGAAGCCAGCAGCCTGCCATCCAACCTGTACTGGAATCAAGAAAAACCAGAAGAAAGCTTGAGATTTCCCAGTCTTTGCAAGCACAAAGCACTTTGCTTGGCGAAACTATTTGGAAGGAGCCTCATGATTGAAAAGGTGGAGAGTTAGTGAAAGAGCAGAAGACTCGCAATGAGATGGACTGACACAATGACTGTTCAAGTGTCAGAGATAAAGAGGCTGTTACAGGATAGAACAGGGTTCAGATCTGTTGTTTATAGGGTCTCAATGAGTCATACTTGACTTGTCAGTATCTAACAACAACACAAGTGCCATTTCCTTGATATAAATAGATATATATATATAGACTTCACTGGATTCACTTCTCTAGAAAATCAAGTGTAAGACATTTTGTATCAAGAGTTTTTCTAAAGAAAAAAAGTCATAAGTATGGGTTTTCAAGATTGGTTCTCAAGTCTGGTGAGTCTTAAAAGAATTACCTCCACTGAGACTAATGAGTAAAGAGGGCTGTACTGGTTCTTGGCATGATGTGGTAATTTTTTTTTCTTATTGTGTACCATCAAATCAAATTTGACTGGCATCAGATGCAGCTTGCACAGGAGGAAATTGCCCCTCTTTCTCCAGTGGAGCATCTGGTGGATTCAAACTGCACACCTTCAGGGTTGCAGCGCAGCTTCTTGCCACTAGGCCACCCAAGCTCCCTAATATATTTTTTTTTAAAAAACCTATTTTGCTTGAGTGAAAGTTTACAAATCACATTTGGGTGGGTTTTTTTCCCCAAATTAATAACCAGTGATTGATGCAATCAACTTATAACAATGTCTAAGCAAGAGGTGGCAACATTAATACCCAAAAAATTACTGCCAGTAGATCACGTATTAGTGAAAAGCAAGACTCTGGATGATCACTTCTCTACAATTCTGTCAGAATTAAAAGTTTAAGGAAATTAATTAGTTCGTTCTATACATGTTAGTTTATTTTTTTTTATTTTTTTATTTTTAATTTTTTTTATTTTTTATTTTTGTGCGCGTGTACCGTCAAATCAGATCTGACTGGTACAGGAGGAGATTGTCCCTCCTTCCCCGGCAGAGTATCTGGTAGATTCGAACCGTGCGTCTCTGGGATTGTAGTTGCAGTTCCTTGCCACTAGGCCACCAGAGCTCCCCTACATGTTAGTTTAAATGTTGACAGTTTAAAGACTACAGTGCACCTGACCCTAGCCACGGTATTTTTCATTTAGTCCCTGTGCATCTGAAAGTTAGGCAACAAATAAGGAAGACTGAAGAAAAATCAGCAACTTTGAATTGTGTTGGGGAAAAGTACTGACTGTCCCACGAGCTGCCAAAAGATCAAATATATCTTTCTCGAAGGAAGTGCAGCCACTAGAGTGCTCCTTAGAGGTAAAGATGATGAAACGGCAGCGGCAGCGTGGGCGTGTTTTTAGGAGGGGCTGGTCCTTTGAAAAAGACATCAAGCTGGGAAAGGTGGAAGGTCAGAGGAAGACTAGAGACTCGGCAAGGCGGATTGACACGGTGACTATGAGCATATCAGAGACGGTGAGGATTCCACACGATGGCACCACTACTACTAAACCAGAGGCTCACAGGGAACTAAGGACTCATGCAATCTTAACTATCATGGAGGAAATGCAACAGAAGGTTTCAGAAACAGAGCTATTTATTAGAGGTGGGTGGGCTGCGTCCTGCACAGGCACATTGTGTCAGGGAATCAATCGGGGGTGAAATCCAGCCTTTTGTACCATTCCTTATGTTATGAATTTTAGCACAGGGTTGACCTCCCCTGAGAAGAAGCATGAAGGTGTTCCACTTTTCCAAATCTTTCCCTTTTTTCTATTGCACACAGGGCATTGTGCGTTGACTACCCAATGACTCCAACTCTTTGTCTTTTCCTATATCCAAGTTCTTTTCCTCAAAACCGTTGTGCCTTCCTACTCTTGGTGGGGTAAATTATCACATTCTTTGTCTCTGGACTCAGTCCTGTGTCTTGCTTTAGTCACGGGCTGTCAACTGTGATGCAAGCAGAGGCTTGGGAAAAGCACTTGTTTATTTGTCCTTTGCCTCATCTATGAAGACAGGCCCAGGAGGAGATACAGGGAGCAAGGTCAAGTCTCCCCAGCTGGCCCAGCCCAGTCACCATAATCCAACAGAATGAGCAATCCTCAGACTCAGAAGCCAGCCAGGGTCAACAGAGCTGCCTAGTCAGAACTGGCCCATAGTTGACCCTCCAGTGGGCTTTCAGAAGAGTCAATAAATCACACAGGAGTTGACTGCCCCTCTTTCCCTTGTAGAGCAGCTAGTGGATTCAAACCATGTGCCTTGGCACTGAGAGCGTGATTCCTTACCACTAAGCCACAGCTCCCTAACCCAGATGGCTCCCACTGACTCATAGACCTTCTAATTGTTTTTAAGCTATTGCATTTTTAATGGATTGTTTTGTCATGTTCGTGTAACAACAGAGAACTGATACAGATACATATAGGCTCCAAATGACCTTCACCCTGCTTCGATAGGGTTGATATTTGCACATTGAAGAGAAAGTCAGTGAAAAATCCTCTATTGAAACTTCAGCTGGAGCACCACATTTCTTACCCCAATGACATAGCGGATGACTCCTTCGCGGTCGGCTTGGGGAATGACGTCCTTGTATTCCAGGGGATCGTCAAACTTCTCTCCATCTGTGATGACAACCAGGATCTTAAGGGCATTTTCCCGGGCCCCACTGTTGCGGTGAAACAGTTCCTCTCTGTCCAGGAAAAAGGAGGGACAGAGTCAAGTGCAAGCAGCAGAGATACCATCAATGCACAGAGCTGAGTCACAGAAACAGATGCAGGTGGGCCTGGCTAGGAGGAGCTCAGTCTCTCCTGAGACTGACAATAAAATACAGCTCCCAAGACCGGAAAAGGCCCTGGAAGGGGAGGCAAGTGAGGAAGGCACGCAGAAAGGAAGCCTTCTTGCCTCCATGTCCTTTTGCATCATTTGCATTTTTAAGATCAAATATTACCACTTCCACATTTATAAAAAAATGAAAGAAATAAAAACCCTCGTCAAGCCTTTGCTGGAACACTGTCACTTCTCTCCAGCTTATCCTAGACCTGTGTCCCAATCTCCAGTGACACCTACATACACACACACAATATTACACACACAGATCAGAATGTTTCCAAACACAGATGTGGGAATACCCCCCACCCCACCCTTGCTTTACACATTCAAAGGATCTCTAGCGACTAAGATGTAAAACTCAAATCATTCTAGTCTCCACCAAACTTTCTAGCCTCCCTCAAGCCACCTTCCCTACACTCTCTCTTCACTCACATCTGTCTTTACCTTCAACTTCCCTTTTCATGACCATTCCACGCAGTGCCCCCTAGGGTGCACACCCAGCACCAGAAATACCCTTTCTTTAGCTCATCCCCATCTGAATGGCTCCCTTGATCCTTCAAAGTCCAGCTAAAGCAGATCACTTCCCTCTTTGATCCTAAGCGAGTGGGAGGACCTTACACCACTTTGCGGATTCCGGTGGCAGTGTGAGTTCTCCCGAACAGCTGTGTTATTGGTGTCACAAGCGACCTCGGGTTTGGGTTCTGCTGGAAATCCTTGAAGGTGAAATGAGTCTGGAAATCATTGGAGTACTGCAACAAAGAGAACTGGGGACAGGCACCAGGCATTACAACAGCATAGGTAACATCCATCCTGTTAGAAGTCTCTGATCCCGGCAAATGTGCTATTTACCCAAAAGTAGACCCTGGTTATAGCGTAAAGAAGACATTCAGATTCTAAACATTCAGACTCTACAGTCTCCCTCAACCCCACGAATTTACCAAGACAGAGATCTGCCATACACCTCTCTCCTCTCCGTAGTAAAACTCAACCAGAGAGGACATGTGGGTCTCATTCCCCAAGACAACCCCTCTCCACTAGTCAGGACCTTCACACAGGGCTGAAAAGAATGCTGAGGCTGCATTCAGGTAGAATAGGAGAGAGAACCATTAAAGAAGACCACGATCAAGTAGCACTGGCTTCAGGACCCATCCACTGTTCCTCACCAAGGTTTTGGACTTTTCAAATTGGGTCATCACAGTGGAGACAAATTCCTTCATCCGCTGAAAGTCAGCTGGGTTAATGCTACCAGAACCATCAATTAAGAAGGCGATGTCACTCTCCTGTTGAGGACATTCTGGGCAAGAGGAAAAGAGTATGCAAAACAACTCCAGTCAGAATAGCAAAATTTAACCGAACAGCAAGCAACAAATGCTGGCAAGGTTGTGGAGAAACTGGAACCCTTATTCACTGTTGGTGGGAATGTAAAATGGTGCAACTGCTGTGGAAGGCAGTGTGGCGCTTTCTCAAAAAGTTGCAAATAGAAATACCATTTGATCCAGCAATTCCACTACTGGGAATATACCCCAAAGAGACCATAACTGCCACCCAAGCAGATATATGCACACCCATGTTTATCATGGCTTTGTTCACAATAGCAAAGAGTTGGAAACAACCTAAGTGCCCATCAACAAACGAATGGATAGAGAAGCTGTGGTACAGTCACACAATGGAATACTATGCTGCATTGGAAAAACAAGGAACTCATACAATATTATTCAAAATGGGTGACCCTGGAGGACATTATGTTGAGTGAAGTATCTCAGTCAAAAAAGGACAAATACTGCATGGTGCCACTGTTGTAGAACAGGACTGACATTGGGGTTGGGGGGAGAATGAGAAAGATGGGTTCAATAATGTATACTGCATTGAAACAGATGAGGGAGAAAACTGTTTAAAAGGGATATGTGACTAGGTATTTTTGTCATGACAGGAATCCAGAGCAAAGGCTGCATAGTGGAGTGGACCTGGGGGAGGGATTGTAAAACAATGAAAGAATTTTTCTTTTACTTTTCCAAGAGGGTAGTTTACTAGGTGGGGAGGGTTAGGAGGGGAGAAAAGTGCAATGAATGAATGGAAATTTTAAAAAAAGGCTATGTAAATGTGCCTATTACTAAAAAAAAAAAAACAAACCAACAACAAAAAAAAACACCAAACTGACTTTAACAGAGAAAAAAAAGGAAAAAAGAATATTAATTGATTCATGAAATGATTAGAGATTCAATGCCCATATTTTTTTGAAGTTGTTTTGTGTGTTTTTTTAAATTTTTTTAATAGTTTTTTTTTAAATTTTATTATTTTTGTGTGTGTGTACCATCAAATCAGATCTGACTGGTACAGGAGATTGTTCCTCCTTCTCCAGCAGAGCATCTGGTGGATTTGAACCGTGCACTCAACGCCCATATTTTTGCAGGTCAGCCCTTTTACTGAACACCAAGGGCAAAAGGAAAAATGAAGACATAACCTGGGCTCCAGACACGGACAAAATAATGTAGAAGATTTGGGTTCTTTTTGCCTGGAGGAGTCAAGAAAAGTGTTATCTGAAGAGCATCAAGCAAAATAAGAAACAATTTGCCAGGAATACAAAGAGAAATAAATGTCAAAGGACAGAGCACCGATGAAAATGTGCTGGATATATTTCTGAGCCACACTCGAATTTTCTTTCTACCCTTCTTCAGCCTAGCTGTGACCCAGGAAAAAGCTCCGTCCCCATAAGAACCATATCAAGAGAGTTCCTGGCGCCCCAGTATGGAGGCGGCTTAGTCACAAGGAATTCTCCTGGTGGCAACCCAAATGCACGCCGATCGAATCCACAGCAGCTCCCTCCATGGTGGCAATCTGCTCTGGCAGATTTGTAAACGTTTACATACAGAGTTTAAAGCAGGATGTGTGGTGGGGAGTGACAGTGGATGAGTAGGAATGATTCGAAAGTCAGAGATGGCTTCTCTTAGAAGAGATGACATCTGAGCTGAACTGATGAGTTGTCAGCCACACTGAACTCTGGGAAAGGGGACGTCAGCACAAAGTAACAGTCAGATTGCAAAGGCGCTGAGGTCAGTATGGGCTTGGGGTGGCTCTTGGAGGGAGGGGAGGGAAGGTGCCCAGGGGTGCCTGTAACACAATGACTGGGTTAGAAGGAATGGGAAAGAAGTTGGAGATGTGGACAGAGGCTATACCATCTAGATTCTCCAGGACTACACTTCGGAGAAGCAGGCACTTACTCTAAGGAGAGTGGTTGTGATATCTGTGAAATCAGGCATCCCAGTTCCCTTCTCTCACCAAGGTCTCTACTAAGATTTTTTTGTCGTTATTCAAACATAAAGCCCTTGCCCCTTGCCCAGTTCTCTGTGGTAACCAAGTTCCTTTAGCACTCTGCATGTAGACCTCCAAGTCGCCCCTAGACCCCCACCATGCCCTAGTCCAGCCCTCTCCTAGACCTCTGCATCTCATGCTGCCTATTAGTGCCCTCTGCCAAAGGCAACCTACCTCTCAGGGCCTTGGGGAACTTCTGAGGCTGCTGACGCAGGTTGGATCCAAACAAGAAGCAGAAGCCGTTCACGTAAGTGTTCTCCTTGCAGGTTTGGTGCACTGTGGGGCCACAGGCCTGGGGAGCAGAGGGCCCTGCTTTGTGTCCTTCTGCCCAGCACCTCCACCTTCTGCAGACTTTCTGCCCCTGTGCCTCTGGGTTCCAAGTCCTCCCGTAAGGACCCTCCATGAGTCATATAAACTCACCAAGAGCTGGGAGGGTGAGGTGGTGGCTGCCAGAGACAGGCCCAGCGACATATTCACAGCCTCCAAGGGGACTGAGGAAGCAGATATGAGCAGTTACTCACAGGAACATAGAGGGAAAAACTTCCAGGCCAACAGGACTTTGGAGAGATCATCCGGGGCCACCCCAGCCCTGGGAGACATGGAAGTCAGGGGAGGCATCAAGGCCATGAGCAGGGAACTTACAGAGGCTGAGCCACAGGAACATTCAGCCTCTTGACGAGAACCACTTCCCATTCCCCACCCCAGCCCCCGGATCACCAGGTGCTCAGGAGGTCGGTCACAGGTGCAAGTCTAGGTAGAACTCTCGATGTGGGTCCCAGGGGTAAGCAGTGACCTACCCTGCAGGGGAATGGGGGTGCACGAGCCCACACTGTAGTCACACTGGTAGAGGCTACCAGTTTGGTTGGCAGCCTTTATCTCCTGGGGAGCTCCAACCACCACCCTGTGGAGGGAACGTGGGAACACATCACCAGGTGGGCAAGTGAGAATGTGTGGAAAGAGATGGCCATGTGCAAGACATTCAACAATCCAGAGGAAATGAACTCCACCCTCCTACGGATGCTCGTATCCTCCAAAACAGTATAAAGAATCCGAGAAGAAAAAAAAATCAGAAAGTTTTCAGTCTTGGAGTAGGAAAGACTCTGCTCAGAATAGCATAAAATTCAGAGGTTACTAAAATTCATTAAACTTAACCACACAAAAGTTTTAAATAAATGTCTGCATTTGATAAATGAAGTTTTCTAGCTTGGGAAGTGACTCATATCTTAGACTGCTTTCCCAAGTGTAGTCAAAACACTTAACAAGAAAGGGGGAATAGAAATCCCAATAAGAGTGAAAAAAGAAAATAGAGGATCAGAAAAATAACAGAGTTCACAACAAAGGAAAGACATTATTCATAAAAAGATATATGTGATTTGATATTATATTGAGAAGTCCTTGCTTGTGGAAATGAAAAAACCAATCTTAAGAGTCACATGAAGGGAGCTCTGGTGGCCTGGTGGCAAGAAGCTGAGCTACAGACCCTGAAGGTGTGTGATTCGAATCCACCAGATGTTCTGCTGGAGAAGGAAGGGCAATCTCCTCCTGTGCCAGTGAGATCCGATTCGATGGTACACACACAAAGAGTCACATGGATCTTAAGGGTACCCCCAAATGCCAAAACAGTCTAGAAAGAAAAGGAACAAAATGTGAAGCACTCACATTTGCCGACTTCAAAACTTGCAAAGTTATAGTGATCAAACGAACATGGAACTGGCATAAACATAGGTCAGTGGAAAAGAAGAAGATTGTCATTGAGACAGATTAACACTGTGATTGTACAATGGATGCAGCAGAGATTGTAAGGACGGGTGGAGTTTTGTTCTGTTCGACATAAGTCAGTTGGAGTGGGAGCAAACTCAATGACACCTAAAAATACATAGTAGAGAGTTCAAGAGGTGAAGCTTCACAAACTTCTTAGCCATAACAAAACATTTTGAGATACTAAATCGCAGGGCTTGAGAGCTTAGGATCACAATGCTGAGGGACACCGGGGTCAACTGGCATAACACAGACTCAGCTACAACTATGCGTCTCTTCCTTTTTGGAACAAAGAGTAAAGAAAATGAAAGGCTCAAGAAAACCATTAGTCCGGGACTGTCCTTGGGGTTGGGGAGAGACTGAGTAAGATGGGTTCAATAATGTATACTGCACTGAAACAGAGGAGGGAGAAAACTGTTTAAAAGAGATATATAACTAGGTATTTCTGTCATCACAGGAGACTAGAGCGAGGGCTACATGGTGGAGGGGACCTGGGGGAGGGTTTGTAAAACAATGAAAGAATCTTTTCTTTTACTTTTCCATAATTTCTGGACTCATGTACTTATAACTTGTTAGTCAAATTTGTGTCTTCTAGGTTGCAACACCCCCATGATACATCTTCAAGGATATGAACATGTACGGCCAAGCACAATCAATAAGAGTGCATCTAAATTCCAAAATCAATCTCCATAATAGTCTATGTGTTTCCTACTGCCAAAGGGGCCCTTTAGAGTAGTGAGAGAAGATCTTCACCCTGAAACCCACAGCGTCCCTTTTCAGCCGGAAGTAGCTAAGAGAATACGCCATCCCCTTTTCCTTATGACTCAGGGTGAAGTCTCTCTCAGGGAGGAGTGATAGGGAATGGCAAAGGACACACTGACAAAGGAGATTAATCAGAACTGGCTTTGACAAGCACTGTGGCATTTGGACAAGAACAAACTGGGAGGAGGGTAGAGAGAATAGTGCAACAATGAATGAGTGGAAGCCCAAAATCTCTGTAAATGTTTATGAAAATTAATAAAATATAGAAAAAAAAATTTAAAAAAAAATAAAAAAAAAAAGAAAACCATTAGTCCAGAGGACTGGTGAGTCAACCAAACAATGACTTCCACCAGCCCGATAGCGGAAGAACTGTTGTTGCAGGCAGCTGTGCGCCATCCTCATCATTTCCAATATGTGCAAGCCAATTGCAGGAGACAGTGTGCCGATCTATCCTGTCGAGAATCTTCCTCTTTCACCAGCCTTCCACTTTCCCCAGCATGGTGTCTTTGTCCCCTCCTGATAACAAAGTTTCACTGTCTTTGCCTCTAAGAAGCACTCTAGCTACACTTCCTGCAAGACAGAATTGTTTGTTTTGGTAGTCCATGGGATATTCAGTACTCTGTCAACGGCACAATTCTTCTGCAGTCTTATTTACTCATTGTATAACTTTCAGACGCACACAGAGTAATTGAAAATACTGTGGCTTGGATCTGGATGATTTTAGTCTTTAAATTGATGTCCTACATGTCAAGAAGACAAAGATTCTCACCACTGGACCAGTTGACAGCGTCAGGATGGATAGTTAAGAGACTGAGATTGTTAACAACTTTAGTCTGCTTGACTCCACGGTCAACACACTTGGCACCAGTAGCCAAGAAATCAAAAAACGTATTGCGATGGAAAAGTCTGCTGTTAGGGACCTCTCCAGGGTACTGAAGAGCAATGGTGTCACTCTGGAGACTAAGGTGTGTCCGATACAGGCTATGGTTTTTGCAATCACTTGTTATGGATCAGAGAGTTGGACAATGACTAAGGAGGATAGAAAGAGAATTGATGCCTTTGAGCTGTGGTGCTGAAGAAGAGTATTGAATGTACCATGGACTGCCAAGAAAACAAACAGATTCATTCTGAAGAGGGTTAAACCAGGCTGCTCCTTGAAGGCAAGGGTTCTGGGGCTTCGTCTGACATACTTTGGACTTGTTGTAAGGAGGGACAGGTCCTTGGAGAGGGACATCATGCTTGGGAGGGTGGAGGGACGGCACAAGAGGGGAAGACCCTCTACGAAGTGGATTGATTCAGTGACTGGGGTAATCAGGATGGGTGTGTAGGAGGCAGTGCGGTTGGCACAGGATAGAGCAGAGTTTAGGGCTGTTGTACATAGGGTTGCTATGAGTCACAAGCAACTCGACGGCACATAACAACAACAACAACATCTTTAGAACTTTGGAGAGGCCCGTGACAGCCAATTTCCCCAATGCAACACCATCTTTTGGTTTATTGACTGCTGCAACCACAGAGATTGTGGATTCAAGTAAGATTAAATCATTGACAACTTCACCAAACTTCCTCATGAGACAAATAACCATATGAACCAAAAGGGTAACATTTTGTTCTAAAACAAAGTTCAAAAGTTAGGAAGGAGTAGTAAAGATGAGGGGATGGAAACAGAGGAGGTGCAGGAAAAATGGCAAGAATTCTAATACTCTGAGGGAACTACCACTAAGGTCCTTTAGCAAAATATGCATAAACTCTTGAATAGGAAATTAATTTGTTCTGTGCTTTGGTTTCACCCAAACCACAATAAGATATTTAAAAAAAAAAGTGCTAGCCCCTGAGGTAGCCTTGGAGATAATTGGTTAAAAAAACAATGAAAGACACATACACAACAAAAAAACAATGACTATTACCCATAAGTCCTGTAATATATATTATACCAAACAGTCAACAATTACTTTAAAAGAAAGATGAGAATGTAAAGGGGAAACTAGATTAAAGTAAATACTACAACCAGAATGGAAACCATGAAAATATTCACACACTATGAAAAACGTAACTAATGTCCTCGAACAACTTGTGTAGAAATTATTGAATGGAAACTTAAACTACAGTAAAAAGTCTTCGCCAAAAGCCCGATAATATAGTATTTTTTTAAAAGCTAATTAATTAAGCTTGATCCAGGCCTTACACCAAACAATGAACCCCAGAGCTCTGGTGGCCTAGTGGTAAGAAGCTGCTCTGCAATCCTGAAAGTGCGTAGTTCGAATCCACCAGATTCTCCGGTGGCAAAGGAGGGGCAATCTTCTTCATGACCAAGGCTTAGCAATGGATTCTATGCATGGCAGCAAAATTACAAGCAACAATAAAAACAGATAAGTTAGACCTCATCAAGATGTAAAGCTACATAAAAAAGACAATCCACAGAACAGGAGAAAAAAGACTTTGAAATCATTTGTCTGCTCTGGTTCCAAAATATGAAGCGAACTCTTACCACTTACCAGTAAAAGCACAATAACTCAATTAAAAATTATTTAAAAGAAAGAATACATGTAAATGGCCAAGAAGCACATGGAAAAATGTTCAGCACACTGGCCATCAAGGAAATACAAACCAAAACAATGGTTTCATGCCCACACGATGGTCATATTAAAAAAACAACAACAACAACAAAACAAGTGTTAGCCAAAATGTGGATAAATTGGGGCCTTCCTATACAACAAGGAGCCGCTGCTTTAGAAGAGAATTTGATCATTCTTCAAAACATTAAATGTGATCTATGGCATATGAACAACAATGCCATTCCTAGCTATGTTGTGTAGGTACCATCGAGTCAAGTACAACTCATCGCGACCCTATGAAAAACAGACCTGAATCCTGTCTATCCAGTGCCACCCTCATCATTGAATTCAGTCTACCCAGACAATTGAGTAGTAATATTTGATCACAAAAAAGAATGAAGAATAAAGTGCTTTTATATATATAT